AGTGCATCGCAGTCTGTTGGTAGGGGGCTGCAGAACATTGTGACCACCAGGGTGCCCAGCTGGTCATAATGTTATAGCTGATGGGTGTATGTGTGAAAGCCCAGAGCTAATGGAGCTGTAAGTCGTGGACTTGTGAGTAGTGTTGGTCTATTAGTCCAGGGATTAACTCAAAAAGCATTTTTAGCCTATGCAGCCTTTAGTTTTGGAACACTTTCATGCCAGCTTTCCTTTATTCACCTGCTGTAATGGTAATTACTTTTTTTTAATAATACATTTGCTATGTTCACTAAGTGTAGAAACAGAGAATACAGTATCCTAGCAGCTCAGGTTCATCAGATTTTTTTAAAATGTCATTAGTCCTCAAAAACACTGTTACTAATGCTTATAATTCAACCTTAAATATCACTTGGCTTTAATGCTACAAGAATCTCACACTAGTAAATTGATATTTGATAGCTGAACAACACAGACACATTTGATATATGTGGCCTAAAGTTAATATAGATAATGTGTTAGCAAACAGTTGCCTGTTTATTCATCCTGCAACATTAGCAGGTATTACGTGAGAGTGATTAACAACAGTAAAGTTATAACACAATCACAACAATGAGCCGAAAGACACTAAAGGCTCGGAGTTGGGTGATAAGTCTATGTGGGTTCATTACTACAACACATTTAGCATGACACATTTGAGCCATTGTTTAGACAAAATTATTGATTAGTGCAGCTTTAATAGGTAGGTTAACCATATAGATAGCATAGGATACATCTACTGTATCTTTGCTCTGCAGCTCTGGTTTGGTCTTTTACCGACATGCCTGGAAAGTACTGTATGCCATGCACATTCACACTGTTATTACCTGCGAGTTATAAATGTTGAAAAGGTGATTCCCCAGGATACATGGATGTGTGTAGGCACATGTGTTTTTGCAAAACATGTAATTGAGTAGACTTCAAAACAAATTCTCCTTTAGTCTTTTTTTTCTTTTGCATGTACGTATGAAAAATATGTGTTGTGGTTTCCTTTCAAATCACCAGTTTAAAAATGATTGGGTTGTAAAGTGTTAAGTTGTAAAATGCAAAATTCATGTGGTGAAGCTTTTATGTATTAGTATTTAGGAATGGGAAAGTCCTCTTGGCTGCGTAATATATGTGTAATACAAAAACACAAAGAACAAGAGTGAAAGTGCTCCTCGGAGTAAAGTGGCCCTTCAGAATATTTGGTGCTCTACAGCTCAGGAAGTGTGTGGGCTTTTCCGACACGCTGTCTACATTTCTCCTGCCAAGACTGAAGGCCTTTTCCTGTCAAGATGCCATTGCTCAAGCCAAAAGCACAGTTGCTACTTCACTAACTCCAGCTAGCTATTATTCTCTGTCATCTGTCAGAATTTGATGATATAGATGGAAAACGAGTGCAAGTGGTTTATGAATTATTGATACAATCTAACTGACAGTCATTAACTGTAAAATGTCAAATGTTGGCTTTATGTAAATTCTCTTTCTCTCTGTCACTCTCTCTGTGCCGTTCTCTCTCAGGAAAGTCGGAGGTCTTTGTCCAGCTGGATCTGGAAGCAGAGTTTCATTTCACTCACCTGATTATGACCTTCAAGGTAGGTTTGAAACTCTCGTCATTGGCTAATTGACCTGTACCAACTTGTAGCTGAGAATAGTAACTTGCTGCGCCTTTTGTTTTGTGCTTTTACTTTTACTTTTTTACGTACATTGAAGACATTCTTTTCTTGCAGACTTTCCGTCCGGCGGCCATGCTGATTGAACGCTCAGCAGATTTTGGTCGTACCTGGCAGGTCTACCGTTACTTTTCCCACGACTGCTCTGCCACCTTTCCCGGAGTGTCCCAGGGTCCTTTGCGTAACATTAATGATGTCATCTGTGAGTCACGCTACTCTGACATTGAGCCGTCAACGGAGGGAGAGGTGAGCGATTGATTAAAAGAATAAAGCAAAATGACAGGTCAAATTAGTTGCTCAAGATAAACACTAAAGCTTATTCTGTTTTATTGAATAGAAATTGAAATGGTTTGATATTAGAATACAGGTTTTTAGATGTGAAGGTTTCCAAATTTTTAGATCTAAAGCTTCCTGATGGCTGTGGCCACACAAATACTACTACCAGGATTAGTTTTCATTTTGAGAAATGTGCTTATCTGTTTTCCTGCCGAGAATTAGATGAGAAGATCAAAACAGCTCCCATATGTAGATTCTTCTAATCTTCTCAGTAGACACCAGCTAGCCTGACTCTGTGCAAACAGTATCTGTTGTTTTTGCAGTTTGTGTATAGATATCACATGTTAATTAGTAAAATATAAAGGCATCGGCAGATTTATTTAATCTTTGAAAACATTTTTGAACTTTTGGAGTGAGGCTAGCTGTTTCCAGTCTCTATGTTGAGCTAAGCTAACCGTCTGCTGGCTCTAGCTTCATTTTTATCATACAAACATGAGAATGGTTTTGATCTTCTCGTCTAACTCTGTATTTTCAAAACTCTTGAGCTATTCCTTTAATGCCTTGACTTTAGTAGATCATCACATGGTCAGTGTTCAGTTCCATTCTATACTATAAACAACTTTTTAATTCACAGATCCTGCATTTGAAAGCAATGTTTAGCAAGAAGAAAACATACTAACAGAGAGGACAAAGTTAAAAGCACAACTAAAATCTTTAGTGCACACATTGTATACTGCTCAGGCATGCAGTCCATGAAGTCTGATTCAGATGCCTGCTGCATATACTGCTACGTATTTTATTCTTATTCCAAGTCTCAAATAGTTCAAATATGTAATGTGTATGCAATATGTATATCCTGGCCTAGGTCATCTACAGAGTGTTGGATCCAGCCATCAGGATTGAGGATCCATACAGCCCGAACATACAGAGTAGGTCACACTCATATATTTAACAGCATATTGATGATGTACAACACTACAGGGTGATGCAACACACCAAGGTCAAGTTGGACAAGCATAATACACTGTTTACAGGGCTTACCTTTCCTGTGGGTTTTGCCACTTAGACTCCCTCCTTTATATATATGCATATGGGGGTATGTGTGTAGGAGTTTACAGCAGAAAGAAAAGTAAAATCTGGTGGGAATCAGTGCTAATGCTAGCCTCCACCCGTTCGAGTGCATGACAAAATTACTAGCTCAATGGGTCCTCCCTAAAGGGACAGATGTCTTGAATTGCGTCTTAAAACGGACATAACAAACGCTATGTGGAAAAGAACGTCCTGTATCAACATTTATAGGCTTTACAGGTGTTTTCTGGTTAGTAGTGTACCACAGAAGTTGACAGCATGTCTCCTAGTAATCCCAGCCCTTAGGTGTCAGTCAACCACTGCCATGAGAAACACCCACTGTAATTGAGTTCAAATGGATTTGTTTCTACACATATTCTCTTATTCCTACAATAGCTTCAGTATCATTATAGTTTATGTCTATCCTTTTTTTGTGAGCTAAACTCACATTTGTCATCATAAATCAAATTCCAGCTGACACAATTAGCTCTTATTATCCAGCTGTGACACATGGATTGTAACAGCTCCTCTCTCTGGGGTGTGAAACATGGCCCTGCTGTGTGGAAGACATGGAGAGATGTGAAAAGCAGCTGTTTCTCTCCCACACAGCCTCACTGTCCTGGCCCTCATGTTTAGACTGGCAGGACATGAGAGCTTTTCCCAGAAACCCGAGCTCAGTTTCCAATGCAGCAGCAGAGGTTGTCTTGTTCTGTTGCTAAATATCTCACTGTAACTGACCCACATGAAGACCCCTGACCCCCTCACAGCTGAACAATCCATATTCACTGTCTGCTGTTGTCAAGACAATATATCAACATCCAGAGTAATTTAGTATAGTCTAGCCTTCCAGGCAAACCTTCCTCTGTACATATTCTGCCTCTTTGATTGGCAGACAATAACCCAAATCACAGCACTGACTCTAACCTTGGCCATTTATAAAACTAAAGCATTTGACTGGTAGAGCCATTTTGGGGATATTACACAGCCACAGAAGAGGCAAGAACAAAAAATCCTAAAGAATAATTTTCTGTCTGACTGATTCTCTGTGTTACAACAAACTGGGAAGAAGTGACTTGCTGGGGTTCCCCGGTAGCTTACCTGGTGGAGTGTGCACCCCATGTGCAGGGGCTGAGTCCTTCGCTGAAGCAGCTCAGGGGCAGTTCCACTTGCTGCGTCTATACTCTCAGCCAATATTATTTTCTAATAGTCTTATGAAAATGTAAAAAGCTCATTTCAGTACAGTGTTTTATTTTAACACACTGATATCATTCAGAGTGACTTACACGTCCTAAAGATATCATTATCTCCGATGTCCATAGCAAATAAATGTCCATACATCAACATAGAAATCATAGAAAACACAGGTCAGAACCTACCTGAGAATCATCACATTTTTAAGTTGTTTTCAGTAATTGTTGTTTGTACATTCATGGGAACACTACATAATGGAACTGCTATTGGCTAATTTAGCATTTAATGGTGCCAATTTGCCAAAATGGGAAAGAATATAGGCTTTTTTTTTAAAATAAAAAATACGAAATAAGACTATATGTTAGTGCTATCACGTTTCCATCTCATATTAGCAAAAGCATTTTTGACTTCCTACATTTTCACACAAAATTCAAATTTCACAGTGAGCCAATAAAAAAGAAAAGCAGTAGAAGGACAAGCAGCTCTGTAGGACAAGCTAGCATGCTAAAGCACCAAACTAAGATGGTAACCAACATGCTAAACATTATACCAACCAAACATCAGCTTTTGTCATTGTAAACATTTTTGCTTACTGACGTAGCACTATGTCTACAGTAAATATAGTCTGACTGAGCCGCTAGCTTAACTGAAGACTCTTGTTTTTTTGTGAAAGCCTGTTTTTGGATTTCAGGAAGTCTCTTTATTCGTAATTCATTACACAGCAGAAAACGTGAAAGATTTTTTAGCTTTGATTTTTAAATTGCATCACCAATCACCTTTCTCTCTTCTCTTTACACATTCAGTTGGACGTAAATGATAATAAATGTCAGTCTCAGGCTGAGCCTTTGGGCTGCTGTTTGGCTGCTGCAGTTGCTGCTGGCAGAGTTGGAGGACTGTTTTCCTGCTATTACAGCATGAGGAGGAACAGACAGTGTCTTAGTGCAGTGGAGCTGGAGGGATTAGCCCTTGACTGTCAGAGAGGGATTCTATTACTGTAGATAAAGTCGGTGGGTTAGAGTTTGGAAAATAAAGCCTCCCATGAAACATTTCATCCATCTTATTGTAGTACTGCCACTTCAGCTCCAGCAGGATTGAAAATGACAAGAAACGAAACTCAGGAAGCTAAAAGGTTTTAATGCTGGTCACGAACGAGGTATTTCCTTTTTTGTGTAGAAGAACAGTTTGTAAAGAGGCAGCAGCTACTCTGATGCGGAATTATAAATGTTCATAATACCTATAATTATAGTCATCACGTTGATAATGGAAACTAAAATTGCCACATAATTTTGTGCCTCATTTACTTAACACTAAACTAAGTGTTACTTTGAATTATTTCTTAAACCAGAGTTTCTCAGTAACACTGGTTATCATTGTTTTTCAGTCTGTGGCCCACTAGTGTAGGTATATTTCCTCTGCTGTTGACATGGGAAAGTAGGCCCTTGGGAAGCAGAGCAGTGCTATTAATTGTGCATGACAAAGAAGAGGAAAGTATGTGCTCTTGTGAAAATGTGTTGGTATGCTTGTGTGTTTTGGCACATCAGCATTTGTTTGTGTGTCTGTGTTGATGACTACTGGTGAACAGCTGGACTGTAACAGCG